GGCTGCAGAAGGCCATTTGGAAACACCTACCATTGTTTTAAGGATGTCTTAAATACTCCAAAAACTCTTCGAAACATGAAGAAAAAGGCTTTTTTTTTTTTTGAATAAGTTTCCACAGTTCTTCTTTTCCAACCAGGAAAAGGATAGAAACCACCTCCAGCACCACTCAGCAGACTGCTACACCCTGCACTTTTGCAGGAGAGTGCAGGTTGTTCTGATCAAACTGATATGTAAATGCTTGTCTATAAAAGTTTCATTTAAACCTTGTGTGGTGAGTCTCTCTGGCTGGTTGAAAATAACCAATAACATCAGTATAACTGTCCGACTTCCTGCATCAGTTTATAGCTTAGTAAGCTGGTGCTCATGATGCTGCCTTTCATTTTCAACAATTTTGGTTCTGTCTGCCATTCTGAGTCACATTCATGTGACTGCAAGAGAGTGAAATGGCTGGAGGGTGAGATAGAAATGCAAGGGAATAATAGAATAGAATAGAATAGAATAGAATTCAACTTTATTGTCATTGCACATGCACAGGTACAGGGCAACGAAATGCAGTTTGCATCCATCCAGAAGTGCTTTAGTGATATAGATATATTACAATATATATTAGCAATAATATAGATATGTGAGTATATTACAGAAATGGGTCTATTATGGTATGTTATAATGTACACGGTATGAAGTATGTTGTGAATATTCTATAACTATAAGTATGTACAGGCTGTAGTGAGTACAAGCTATGTACAGGATATGAACAGGATATAAATATGAAAAACTATACAGAATATGAAATAAATAACTTTACAGAATCTGGGATATACAGCTATACAGAAATGGGAACTATGCAGGTTATAAACAGTTGTAGGATTAAAAATTATCGTATGTACAGAATGATTATTTACACAGAGCTATACAGTAGTGCAGTTAAGGTAAGTGAGGGTGTAGATAGTTTCTACAGAGGCTATATAAAGTGCTAGTGGTTGTGAGTGGTGGTTCAGTCCATGTTATTATTGTGTTTGAGGGTACAGTTGTCCATTGTGGGTGTGTGTATGTTCAGTCCATGAGTTTAACGTGGGTCAGATGTCAGGAGGCAGAGTTCAGGAGTCTGACAGCTGTGGGGAAGAAGCTGTTCCGGTACCTGGTGGTCTTAGTCCGGAGGCTCCTGTGGCGCCTCCCAGAGGGCAGGAGGGTGAAGAGTCCATGTGATGGGTGACTGGGGTCTTTGATGATTTTCCCAGCCCTTTTCAGACACCGCTTCCTGTAGATGTCTTTTATGGCAGGAAGTGGTGCTCCGGCGATGCGCTGGGCAGTTTTCACGACCCTCTGCAACGCCTTCCGGTCCGAGGCAGAGCAGTTCCCGTACCAGACTGTTATACAGTTGGTCAGGATGCTCTCGATGGTGCAGCGATAGAAGTTCACCAGGATGTCTGAGGACAGGTGGTTCTTCCTCAGAGTCCTCAAGAAGAAGAGGCGCTGGTGAGCCTTCTTGACCAGCTTGGAGCAGTTGGTCGTCCAGGTGAGATCCTCGGAGATGTGGACTCCCAGGAACTTGAAGCTGCTCACACGCTCCACAGCCGTCCCCTTAATGTGGATGGGTGGATGTGGGTCAGCATTCCTCCTGTAGTCCACGATGAGCTCCTTGGTCTTCTCGGTGTTAAGCAGCAGGTTGTTTCTGTCGCACCACTCAGCCAGACGATCCACCTCCTCCCTGTAGGCGGCCTCATCGTTGTCACTGATGAGGCCAATCACCGTGGTGTCATCTGCAAACTTAATGATGGTGTTGGAACCATCAGCAGGTCTGCAGTCGTGGGTGAAGAGGGAGTAGAGGAAAGGGCTCATCACACAGCCTTGTGGTACACCGGTGTTCATTGTGATGGTAGATGAGCAGCGGTTATCCAGCCGGACATGTTGGGGGCGGTTGGTCAGGAAGTCCAGTAACCATTTGCAGATGAGGGAACTGATACCCAGGTCTGTCAGTTTCCTGATGAGTTGTGAGGGGTGGATTGTATTGAATGCTGAACTGAAGTCTATAAACAGCATTCTGGCGTAGGTGTTGTTGTTGTCCAGGTGTGAGAGGACAGAGTGCATTGCGATGGAGACTGCATCCTCTGTAATAAGGTTGGAAGGGGAACATAATAAAATTGAACATAAAAGAAAAGATAAGAGCTGCATAGAATAGAGAGAGGTGTGGTTCACTTTTAAGATCAACTATGTACACTGTAATCAGTTGGCTGATTAGAAATTAGATTAGAAAGAAAAGAACTTATAAAGGTTATGAGTTTACTCTACAGAGTGATTAGCTCTAACTTTGCATCATTTGTTTTAGAACAATGCATGGCAGCAGCCTACATTCACAATGTACATATAGCTACCCCAAAAGGTTCATTGTGTTCATCTGGACGTAACGTTTTCAGTGGGAGAAACATTTAGTCACTTATCCAAGTGACTTCTTCAGTCTCACTGAAGTGGGCTGGTTTCAGTCATTGTGCAAATGTACTGTTTATAAGGTTGGGGAAACCTGTAGTCAGATGAGATAGAAGAAGTCACTTGAGTGACGAAACGTTTCTCCCACTGAAAACGCTACGTGCAGATGAACAAAATCAACCTTTTAGGTATTTACTTACCTGGATGACTGAGCATGCATCAATAAATGTAGCTACATTTATAACAGGAAACTTAGAATTCAGAAAAAAACTTCAAACATAACTGTAGCCCTGGCTATATAAATAGCTAATTTATTTAAATAGTTTTTTTTCATATATTTTTAGTTAAATTCAAATGTCCACCGTGTTCAAAAATGTATACAAATTCCTGTAAGGTATCTGATGTGTGTCAGTTAAATGCACAGCCTTTTTATTTGTATTTTTGAGGTGTATGTCATTATTTTTTGAAATGTTATTGATATGTACTGCAGCTCCAGTGAACCCTGAAGTAGTCTCAGGTAGAGGGGGTGGGAGTAAGTGGGGAGCCGTGTGCACTCGGCAGGCAGAGAGAGACGAGAGATGAACAACAGTGTCGTGTGGACGGAGAGTTCATAGAAGGGCGACAAACTGATTTTCAGTTTGTCGGAGGAGACGGACGTCTTGCTGGCGTGTCAGAGAGGTCCCTTCTGCTGCTGTGCTGAACTTTCATGTTCACACGGGAACACATGGATATGCAACTGTGAGTGCTGCTGCCGTGCTCGGCTGGTGGCCTTGACCCAGTTTCCCCAGCTATCCCCTTGAACTGCCTGGAGGCGTGAGTACTGTTGTGTTTACGTGCTTTTTATTTTAGTGCTTGGCAACAAGTGAAGCGGCCATGTTGTTTTAGGTCCCAACGCACCCGAGCCACGACTCAGGCCTGCAATGAGGTGTTTGTTAACAGAAAGACTGTAGCAGTTAAGGTGTGTGTGTGTTGGTGAGAGTGCGTATGGGCCCACAATATTATTTGATTATTTGGTTCTGTCGAGGTAAATACCTTTACAAGTTTAACAGTTTAACAAACTTTATTAATTTTACTTATTTTCTTTTGTGTTTTGGAACCAATCATTTACTGAAGTGGAGGTAACTTTATAATTGACCTGCTTGTGTGTGGTTTCCATATAGTGTAGTTTAATGCATATTTTATATCATAAGCGTCAAAAAGGGAGTATCAGTAGTAACAACAGGAACTCAGGGCCCCTCTCAATAGAACGTGGGATGTTTGTTATATAACTTACTAACTGTCAAGAGATTCATTACAACATATTAAGAAATATTAATATCATAGCACATTGCAGATGAAATCTGAATTTCCAACTGGAGCACTCTCTCAACTCTAATTTCTGTTTTGGAAAGTCGGAGAAGCACTACCAAACAAAATTTAACAATCCCAAGCAGCAGTAAAACTGTAAAACTTTTAACAGCTGCCACTGTTGCATATTTGTGACTCTCTAAAAAAAACCATACACTGAGCACTGGCCGGGCTGTACCTATGAGTGTGCCGCATCGGAGTTTGTAAGTGCAAACAAACAAGCATTGGGCTTTACTGCAAGGAATGAATGAATGAATGTCTGTACCTTGCAAAAAACAAAAATGGAAAGTTTTTCCATGTTTTCCAGACTTTACTATTGGAATGCCTACCGTTTAGGTCACCCATTTTCTGAATTATTGTTTACTACTTATATTATATATTCTATTATACTTCTTTATTATTAGAAAATGACACACTGCCTGATGTCATTTGATACAGGAACTTAATTTAAGAATTTAATAAAATATACTCCACAATTAATATCATGAGGTTGAATATTAAAAGTTTTTGGCTTTAAAATCTTGTTTTGGATGTCATGAATGAGAAACAGGAAGTATAATATTTCCATGGATACAGTGGAACATGCGGTCAAGCCTCGTTTTGTTACTCTTTTTTTATTTAGAAAAATTGTATTCACCCAATTAACCAATAATTCAATTCAATTCAACAATTGCATCAAGATGCTTTATATTGTAAGGTAGATTCTACAATAGTTTCCTGTATTGGATATTATTGAACATTCACTGATATTTGTCAGTACACCCAGAATAAAATGAATAGAAATTTTTAATGATTTGATTTCCAGAATAAACAAAATCATAGTTCATTTCATGAGCTCATGAATTGGCAAACATGCATGGTCTCAAAGCATCCATAGAGGCAACTCGGTTTAAAAACGTAGGCCTTGTCCTAAAAACATCTTTGTATAAATGACCTGAGAGTGTTTATGTCTTGATGCATGCTCAATTATCCAGGTAAGAAAATCCCCAAAAGTTGATCTGTTCATCTGGACGTGACATTTTCCTTGGGAGAAATATTTTGTCACCCATCCAAGGGACTTCTTCTTCTCCTATAGTAATAATTAACTGAGGAAGCCTACTCATTTTATGAATCATAAACCACCAGACAGTTAAACCGGGCAGATAACCGTATCAACATATGAGGTAAAAGTACATTAAAAAAAGCTGAGTTAAAACGAAGTGTTAAGAAAGGTGAAGCACTAGAGCGACATGAGGAAAAAGCTCTTGATTATGATCAATCTTCTCTCTTTGGGGAGTCTGCTGACCATTCTTATCTGGTACGCGTTCGAGGACAGGTGAGTAACTACCTTTGCATTTTACAGATGAAGGCAAGAGGTCACTAGTCAAAGTATTTTGAACAAAAGAGGCTTATGACACTGTGAAACTACAAAAAAGTAAAAATAGTAATAATAATTCTGAAACAGGGAAGATGTAAATTGCAAATGCAAGCCAGCAGTTGCAGAAATACACACACACTTATTTTAAGCAGAAGTACACATGTGTTGAAGTACTGATTTCACTTCTTTGCTCAGGTAAACAAAGTGAAGAAATGCAGGCTCTGAAATGTACTGAAAGTATAACAGTAAAAGTCGCTCTTTAAAGGACATTTGTAGCAGCTCTCTTTGTGCCGGGCAAACTTTATCATCTATGCGAAAGAGATTGTTATTGTCAGTGTTTGTGCCTACGTGTCATTCACACTGTTAAAAAAACATCCTAAAAAACCAGTAATATTCCAGCAGCTGGGTTGCCAAAATAATACCGTAATATAACAGAAAATAACTTGCTGCCCTAATTTTAGATGGGATTATGCCTTTTACAAATGCTTTTAAACATCAAATTAGGAACATTTTAATGTGATCAAACAATGAAATTGCCTATAAACAAGGTCAATGAATGCATCAATATGAATAATAATGCTTAAATTTACAGTAATATACAGTAAATGTTATTTACACCACTGTTATTTGACGTAAAAAACAAAGTTGTTTATCCAATTATATTTGATGTAATACTACAGTATACGACAAAAATAATTTGATTTCTCTTTCAAAACGTGTGAAAAACTTGTCAAAAAACTAGATATTGGATTTAAAATTACGATTTACTCTTGATTCTAGATAATATCACATATAAATTTAGTTTCTAAGTGTAATCTAACATAGATTTCGTGAATATGTACTGGACTTCCAATTTGAATTAAAAGTGCTCCCTGTAAGATTGTTGGTTTTATCTGCAACAAAACATCCAAAGAACCCTTATTAAACAAAACCCCTGATTATAATTACATCAAGATTATGTTAATTCTTGATCATATGTTGTGTATGAACACTTTTTACATGTTTATTTTACTTATAAGACATGAGACATGGTTTCAATCATTAACATGGATTTTATTGACAAAAAGATAACCCTTCCTGGAACAATCCAAGAAGAACTAACACTTATGCATGAAAAAAAGGCACATAGAAGAAAATATCCAATTCAAACGCACATTTGAGCTTAGGAGTCATCTTATCCTCAGGATAAAAATAAGAATGTATGGTATCGGAGAATGTGAATGGGGAAAGTAGATTGTTGAGTGAAATGGATGAGCCAGAATTGTTTTGTAAAAATGGTGCAGCTTAACTGGTTTGGTGTTTGTCCGTCAGATACACATATTTTCTTTTGTAGAACATGCAAGCGGGCCGTCGTTATTGCCGTATTTGTTGGACTAAGGTGCTTGTAAATCTGGGAGTAATCTGGGTCCTAAACTCCATCCTTTAAAGTCCCGAAGTCAAACGAACATCACTGAGAGTTTAAAACTGTCTAAATTCTTTCATCTTTAATAAAATGATCAGCATTGCTGCTTTACCAGGTGTAACTATGAAGTTTAACATCCAGGCATCCATGAAAACAGAATTCATTACATTTAACAGAGTTAGAAGTTAGCAGGAAGTTATCGGAAGTCAGAGGAGATTGCAAAGAAAAGCGTCTGGACTTCTTTAAGTTGCTTGAAGACGTTTCACCTCTCATCCGAGAAGCTTCTTCAGTTCTAAGGTCAAATGGTGGAGAGTCCCAGATATAAACCTAGTGGGAGAAACCCCCCACAGAGGGACAAAAGGACCCCCTGATGATCCTCTAATCACATGACCCAAGGTGTGAAACTGGGTGTGGGTCCCAATCAGCCAGAGTTTCGGGTGAGCTCATTGTGAAACCTGGCCCCACCTTATCATGTGATTTCCTGAGGTCAGATGGCCCAGGATGTGAGTGGGCGTTAAGGCGTCTGGGGAGGGAACTCAAAACTGGATTATAGATGGCAGACAGTTGGTGTCGTAAACCCCCGCCTCTGTTCAAAGATGGTCGCTCAAAGTGGACATAGATGGCTTCTTTCACTCGTCTTTTAAACCATCTGTCCTCTCTGTCCAAAATGTGAACATTGGCATCCTCGGAAGAGTGTCCTTTATCCTTAAGATGCAGATGGACTGCTGAGTCTTGTCCTGTGGAGGTGGCTCTTCTGTGTTGTGCCATGCGCTTGTGAAGTGGCTGTTTGGTCTCTCCAATGTAGAGGTCTGGGCATTCCTCGCTACACTGTACAGCATACACCACATTGTTAAGTTTGTGTTTTGGAGTTTTGTCTTTCGGGTGAACCAGTTTCTGTCTGAGCGTGTTGCTGGGTCTGAAATACACTGGGATGTCATGCTCGGAGAAAAAACATGCACCAAACAGCCACTTCACAAGCGCATGGCACAATATTAATTAATATTACAAATTGCAACAGATGTAAACAAAAGCAAGGAAACTAAGAAAAAAATGAGTTCAAGAAAGGGTAACTATTTTATCTGCACAAATCTGTCTCTTTTATTTGTCACAGTTATGTGGAATTTTACCGACCCTCTCCTCAAAGAGGTGCCCCAAAGCCCTCTGAACTTTGTAAAGGCTGCAAGTAAGAGCAAAAACTGTTTCTTAAGAAAGTACATTGTTTATGCTAAGATTAATTCATGTCAGCCCTGAATGGGTGATACTTCTAAATGTGTACCTGAATGCTTGTGCATTACAGGGAAGCCATCGATAAAGTAAAAAAACTCTACAATCAAACATGGAAAAAGCATGAAGAGAATTGCCACAGATTCAGGTAAGATCAGACCCTTAAAGCCTTCTAATATTCTGATATAATTATTTTTATTTTCATTTGAATTTCTGGAAAAAAAGAAAATTAAAAATGTTTGTGAAGGAAACACCTGGACACTGAAACATTGTTTTCAACAAAAAACTTACCATATCTGGGACTCTCCACCATTTGACCTTAGAACTGAAGAAGCTTCTCGGATGAGAGGTGAAACGTCTTCAAGTAACTTAAAGAAGTCCAGACGCTTTTCTTTGCAAGCTCCTTTGACTATGATGACCTGGATGACTGAGAACCTTCACAGACATCTTACCATAGTCACGTTTTGCTTATATTTATTATTATTCTTTTTTGATCAAACTATTGTGCATGAATGATACTCACTTAAACTTTTTTAGTTCCCGAAAAATTGAAGAGAATAAAGTCACTTGGATGGGTAACAAAACATTTCTCTTCCTGAAAACAAAACAGAATTGGCTTTCTGCAAGTTCCTTACAGCAGCGGTCCCTTTTTTGCGGACATGGACCGACAATGTTTTCATGGACCAGCCTCTAAGGCAGGGGTGTCAAACTCAAATACACAGTGGGCCAAATTTCAAAACTGGAACAAAGTCGCGGGCTAACATTAATATTTATTGAAAAAAAATATCTTCCTCCAGATTTAAGAATGAATCTTTTCTTATGGACTCAAACACGTTTTGCTGAAAAACTGAATATGGAACAAGCAAAGCTTAATACTAAACAATATATATATTAGCTGTATAATACCAGTAGGCCAGCTCTGATAGTAATTTGGTATGGCTTTGCGGGCCAAATGTAATTAGGCTGCGGGCCAAATTTGGCCTGCGGGCCAGAGTTTGACACCTATGCTCTAAGGTGTCGCGGATAAATACAACAAAATAAAACTAGTACCGGTACCGAAAAAAAATAAGATTTATTCATAACACACGTGAAAAGACCCAGGAAAACCGAGTTAACGAAAAAAACGATAACAAAATCACGCTAAAAACCGTGAAAACCATACATTTCACACCCAAGTCTCAACTCTTGCGGCCCGGTACCAAATGACTCACGGACTGGTACCGGTCCGTGGCCCGGGGGTTGGGGACCGCTGCCTTACATGGATGATTGAGCATGTGTTGTGTCTGCTTTAGCAGTCCTCGCTGCTTCTTCTTTTTTTAACTTGCGGTGCAAGGGAAGCTGGCTCGGAACCTCAGAGCAGAACCTCTGCACTCGACCTCAGACAACTCCAACTCCCAGTGTCCCCTTGCCGCCTTTTATTCAGCGACAAAAACACCCATTATAAAAGAAAACCCCGTGGTGCGTCATAAATCTAAGGCACTGTGTGTGTGTGTGAGAGAATTCCTGTTGGTCATAAAAAGGGTCATCTCCCCCACCCTGTATATGGCTTAATTCCTTTAACGGTCCGCCATATACAAAGACAGGTGAGGTCATAAATGGCAAGAAGTAAACATCCTTACTAAATAAAGAACAGAACCTTCACATAGGATATCTGTAGTTAAACACTATAGCTAATTGCCTCCCCCGCCTCCTAGATGCGCAGGGAAGGATTAGAAAAAGAATTTTTACAAATTTAAGTACAACAATGGCAATTATTATCAGAATCAACCTAAAAGCATGCATCAATACATTTTAACTCACTTTGGCACAGACTGCCTAAAGCTAGTATGTGAGTACAAGCAAACACCACATAAAATGGTAGATTATTGGAACCACCTGAGATTAAGCCTCAGATGCAGACAAAGCAGAATTACTTCTAAAGGTCTTTAAATGAGGTCTTGTGCTAACTTTCCAAAGTCTAACCTGTTGCTGGTGTCAGACAACAGCTTTTTGGATTTTTTTCAATATCTATAACTCTATTAACTCCTGAACTGTTTGTTCAAACGAAAGAACTCCAACTGTTCCTGATTTTTTTCAGTGAAATATTTTCAGACATTAGGGTCGTTACAGTAATCCCACACAGCAGCAGCCCCAAGAAGATGAAGGATGGTTGAAAGAAGAGAGAGTAAGGAGTTTGATGGTGCTCTACAGATAACAGAATATTTATCAGGCATTTTGATTCTTTTTATTGTTTTGTTTTGTTTTTTTTTTTTAGTAATTTCTGTGTTATTTGCCAATATTTGGATTTACCCTGTCTGTAATTAGCATAATGACCCTACTATCGCTGAAAAAAAGCAACGAGTTCAAGGAGTATAAGATTATTTTTATTAGGCCCAGAGATGGATAAATGACTGGCAGTGACATTGATTTTCACTGGATTTCTTCTTTTAATGAATGAACCAGTCTATTGATTAGTACATGCCTGAAGGTTTTGCTCTCTCTTTTTCAGCTAAACAATGGCCTCCTTTACTTGCACTGACATTTTGAAATGACAGCAAAAAAGATATAAAATAAAATACAAACACTTTGAGTTAGCTTCTGAAATTAGTACTTTTTAATTTTTCATGAATTCAGCGGGGTGTGAAACTGGTTGTCAATCAAATGTTAAATTATTTTTGATCAACTGAACAACTGGTTCCAACTGGAGCGAAATATAATGTTTCGAAGATTTGAGTCAATATTAGTCAAAAGAAAAAATGAAACAAAAAAAACTAACTGTAAATATAATGTACAACAATAGATAAGTTAATTTAAAATATAAAGACAAAAGTTGTCTGTCATGCATGTAAATGTGTGCTGTATCAGTACCTGCCTGTGGTTGAATGGCTTTTATTTTCAGTTTCCTAAAACAACATAACTGTTTTGGCTAAAACCACTGAAGCCTATTCAAATACTACATTATTAAAATTTTTGTTCCCCAAAGTGTTTTACTCTTACAGTGAGCCTAATTTACATTTCTAACAACCTTCTTTGGAAATTGATATGAAACTGTAATGATTATAGTGTTTTAAATAAAACAAAAGCTTTTTATACAAAACTAGCAGAAATGAAAATGACAAAACAGATGGACTCTAACTCTAGAAATTGCAAATCTGTCCACTTAACACTAAAGCTAACTTTATTTATTTATATTTTTGTCTTTTTTTTTCACAAGATTACAGCTGAGGATAAATTGCAATGGATCCAACAATGCCATTGTCACTCAGGAAAACACTCCAGTGGGATCTAAGATTGTTTTTGACAAGGACAGAACCGTCATCCCTGTGACTCCAGAGCTTTTCAATATCTTAATAAAAGTATGTTTTTCTTAAACACGGGAACAGATCTTGAAATTTGTTGTTTATGAATGAACTACTACAAACTAAAACAACATTGCTGCATATTTCAGGTCTTCGTTATTCATCAAATGTTCTAACATGATAACCCTATGTTTTGACATCACATGTTTAGTCACATGTTAAATCTTTGATAAACAGGGACCTTTACCCTTAATGGATTAAATCAAATATAATTCTTTGTGTGTGTCTTCTGAAATTAGCTGCCTAGAGTACTTTTGCAGCAATTCATCTATAAATTCATTAATACATTTGTGGATGCTCCTTGTTTCATCCTGAGTTCTGCCTCTTACACTCACTAGCTAATTTATAGAGCAGGCATCAGCTTAATTTTGAAATTTAGTTATCAGGCTGTGCGAAATGTAACACTGCTATAACTTTATAGCATATTTAATTGTAATACATTTTAATATATGTTAATGGACTGATTCTTATATAGCGCTTTTCTACTCTCCACTGTATACAACATGCCTCATTCACACCCACTCATGCAAGCACTTCTAAACGCAAGTGCACACAGCACACAGTACATTCACACACAATCACACTCTGATCAACGCATTGGAGGGAGATTTGGGGTTATTATCTTGCCCAAGGACACTTGACATGCAGACTGGGGAAGCTTAGGTATAAAGATTTAAAAAGTCACATTCCTTGAAGGTCAATTGTATGGCCTGTATTTGTATAGCACTTTACTCAGTCCCTAAGGACCCCAAAGCGCTTCACACGTTCAGTCATCCACCCATTCACACACTCGTGTTGGCAAGCTACATTGTAGCCACAGCCGCCCTGGGGCGCACTGACAGAGGCGAGGCTGCCGGACACTGACGCCCTCTGACCACCACCAGTAGGCAACAGGTGAAGTGTCTTGCCCAAGGACACAACGACCGACACTGTCTGAGCCGGGGCAACCTTCCGATTACAAGACTAACTGCCAACTCTTGAGCCTTGATCGCCCCATGTAAGGAATTATATGGGGTTTCACTAGGTTTCACATTAGTTTGGACCTTTGACTCCTTCTTCAAGCTCAAATAAGGTCAAACTTGTATAAAGTGGAGTTTTTCTTGAAAACTAACTGCTTGTGTTTGCACTTGCAACATTTAGGAAGTGACACTGGTATATGGGGATTATAGTTTCCAAATATCATTTGACCTAACCTTTACATTTCACATCTGCTTCTCTTTCAAATTGACCTAAAATCTTTAACAGAAAGAATTTAAAGAATTAGCTGACGTATTTAGAAATTTACTGTGGCACAATAATATTTAACAAGCTCAATTTATTATACAGATATTTACATTACCAGTTTATTATCGATTTACCTACTCTTAAATAATGTTTGTGTAAAAATAAAATCCACATAAACATCTGTCATGTAATCCTAATCTAAGTTTTACTGCAGTACAAAACAAACAAAAACAAAACTAATATACAATATCCAGTACTATTCTGTTGAAAGTAAACACTGCCCAGAAGGTAGGTTGCCTTGGTTTGTGGTGTCAGAGTGCTTCTTGTTTTATCTATCATTTTAAACTTCAACTTTCAAGTATGCCCTACACTTATTGTCTCCTTCTATTCTAGGAGAAATTCACAAATACTGGGCCAAAGATTCACTTCGACTTAAAAAGAGACTGATTTTCAAAACAGATTTTGATAACAGGGACCTCATGAATTCATTGTTTTCAATAACAAAAGGGTTTGCACAGTAACTAGAACTAACCACCGTATATGTAATATCACATATATAATGATATCATGAAAGATTTCAATTCCAAGTAACTGATAATTCAGTTCTAATGTTTTAAAGGCAATCAGATTAAACAGGTCTATACATTTCCCTAAAAGTTTTCACGTGATAACCTTATCACTGACCTCTTCCTACATGTTTGCCATCTTCCATTAAATTCAGTGAGCACTTGTCTTTCACACAAAGTACATTTCAAACTGTTTAAATTTTGCTCTTTTTGTAATTTATAATCTGTTGGTGTCAATTCCAGGAGAATCCTTTCTCAAAAAAGAGATGGGACACTTGTTCAGTTGTTGGGAATGGTGGGATTCTGACAAACAGCGGCTGTGGAAAAACGATTGATTCAACTGATTTTGTCATTAGGTGAGAAAGATGTTTAGAACAAAAATCATGATGAGGACTCTTCTCTATGTAAGTAATATTATGTTGTTTTTTTCAGGTGCAACCTTCCTCCTCTGGAAAATGAATTTAAGAGTGATGTTGGCATGAAGACTAACCTTGTGACAGCAAATCCAAGCATCTTAACAAAGAAGTGAGCCAAGAGTGACTCTAACATTGAACTGACCTGTTAGTTTTGTCTAGTTTCTTTAACTAATATATTATTTTGCAGGTATGGGTCACTGATGGCACGTCGACGGGCGTTTGTAGACAGTCTCCACCAGTATGGCAACTCCCTGCTCCTCTTCCCTTGCTTCTCTTTTGGTGCTTACCGTGCAGTGTGTCAGCGGGCTGTGTATGCCATTGAAGACATGGAAATTCCTGTCCAACCAATCTTCACAAACCCTCAGTACTTACAAAGTATGGACAAATTCTGGAAATCTCAGGGGGTAAATGGACTTCGGGCTAGCACTGGAGCTTATATGATTAGTCTGGCTTTGGAATTATGTGAAACAGTTCATCTTTATGGATTCTGGCCATTTAGTAATCATCCATATAAGCTCTTTCCCCTGACTAACCACTACTATGATAATGTACCCTATGATAGTAGAGTCCATGCAATGCCAGATGAGTTTTACTACTGGGTGCAACTGCACAACAAGGGCATTCTCAAGCTTCATCTTGAAGACTGTAAATCAGGTCAGGTCTAGTTTATATGATGGAATAAAATAAGAGTTTGTTCAAGTGACCCCCACAAAAGCCAAGACATTTGCACTGAAATCCAGTATGTGTTATTTTGATGTTACTTTAACAATCTTACAAAATATCTCTTAACTCTCTTTAAAAACCAGAGGTGACCATGCATTTACCATCATTGCCCCTGGACTCTGGAATAATCTCCAAGTCAAAATCCCTACTTCGGAATCAATTCAATCGTTCAAATCCCATTTAAATACACACTTGTTTAACATAGTCTCCAAAAGTTGATTCTGTTCATCTGGATGTAGCGTTTTGTGGGAGAAAACTCGTCCACTCATCCAAGTGACTTCTTCAGTCAGACTGAAGAAGTCAAGTTTAGAGTGACTAAACTTGAGCTATATTGTGTCATGGTCCTGGGTCATTAGACTTTTATTAGACATTATGTTTTTTGTTTAGCATTAGTATTCAATTCAATAAAACTTGTGTTTTGGATTAATCCTTGTCTTCTGATTCTTAAGGGTTTTGATATTGTGTTTATTGTTTTGTATACCTACCTGTATCCTCCCCCAGTGCTCTGTTCACGTCCCTGAGTTGTGTTTGTGAATTTCATGTTTTACTCTGAAGGTCTGTGAAAGAAAGCTGTAGGCCTTGTCAGCACTTCCTTTTTATGGCCTTTGTCAACCCCCATCACCTCACTTCAGGCTTTCTTCCTGTGGGAGGAACCAGAGGTGGGACCAAGTCATTGTTTTGCAAGTCTCAAGTAAGTCTCAAGTCTTTATCCTCAAGTCAAGTCTCAAGTAATGTCAGGCAAGTCAGAGTCGAGTCTCAAGTCACTGGTGTAAAAGTCCGAGTCAAGTCACAAGTCTGAAATTTTGAATTTCAAGTCCTTTCGAGTCTTAAAAAAACAAAAAAAAAACAAAAAAAAAGCATGTTGCCGTTATGCTAAATGTAAATATTAGACCATGTAATTTTTAAATCTGTGTTTTTCTCAACACATGACAAAATAGTGAACTTAGAAAATATACACAAATTGTGAAATTGCACCTCTTTAAAATGCAGCTCAATTAAACCTAGCCCCCAGAATAATTTTCACCGACAGTTCTGAGATAAGCTGCATGTTATTCTTGGATGCGGTTGTAGGACTGGCTTTAAAATCGCATGACAAAAATATCATACATAAATAAATGATTTTTTTTTAAATATAATTTTAAAAAAAACTGCATCACCAACGTAGCCTGGACAACATTTACTAGTTAGATGAAGTCAGCTATCTCATCGTAGCATATTTATATGCATATTTATAATCATACGGTTCTTGGAGTGAGAGCACACACTCATGAAGTTTAGTAACTTCAGGTCACTGCAACAAGCCCAGGTACAGTTTACCGACGGATGGGTGCAGGACCTTGAAATGCACCGTGTAGAAAGTAAAGACCATCGTACGTATCATAAGTTTACCAGTCTCACAAATCGTCGTCATAAATACACATTCGTTAACCGTCTATTAATAGGACCTTTGAGCTCAATGGTAATTAATTAGCAGTGGAAATAATTTCTGGTAGCATCACAGAAATGTAGCAGTGACAATAATACTGTATGCTATAATCGTACTGGGCAATTAGTGATACAAAACAACTGTTTTATCCTGTGAATAAAAGTATGTTTTTGTCAATGTACCATAATAACAGAAGCGAAACGCAATATTGTGTCAGGACAATTCACTATTTATGCACAATAAACAAAGGAGCATAGCGCGACCATTTCTGTTCAGCGCCAGACTTGCTTGTAACCTATATCACCAATTATGTTAACAAAAATGACGCATTAACTACAACAGCAGACTGACCTTTGTGGAAATGCTTGGAGCAGACTAACCTGTGAGCTGGAGTGTTCTGGGACGTTATATTTTGTCTTTGAATGGCTGCAATCCAGTCGCCTCTTTGTTACTTCGGAAACATGGCTCGAACAATTTCTCTTCAACGACGTAATCCCATAACAACCGATCTCTTTACCCGTCGGCTTCCCGTGGCTGTCATGCGACCGGCTATTGCAGTTAATAATACAACAGCTTCTTGACATTTTGTGTTTCTTTTTATCGCTGTATAACTGATTTTAATTGAAAGCCTGCGTACTGCTTGCCACGAGTTCCCAGAATCCTTTGCGGTTCTACCCGTGAATGACGTCACATTTTCAATCTCTATATAAGATGCATGTTAAATTTTATATTTGGGGTGAAATATCAAGTCTTTTCAAGTAAACCGGTTCAAGTCCAATTCAAGTCCCAGGTCATTGGTGTAAAAGTCCAAGTCAAGTCACAAGTCTTAGAACATTTTTTCAAGTCAAGTCTAAAGTCATAAAATTAATGACTCGAGTCTGACTCGAGTCCAAGTCATGTGACTCGAGTCCACACCTCTGGGAGGAACAAGCCACTTGGCAAATTATCTGCATTTATGTCTCCTCTACTGTCTCCCCTCATCCTTCAGATGCCCATTCTGTTGTCCACAATCTCCTCTTGATGACCTCTGCAAAGCCCCGTGGCACAGCTCTCATTCCAATTAGTGATGGGATTTCCGGCTCTTTTTAGAGAACCGGCTCGTTCGGCTCCGGACCGGCTCGTCATGTTGTTTTGTTGCTTTAATTAAGTTATTATTAGTTATTATTATTATTAATACAAAAAGAATTACTAATGTAAAAAAAGTGGTTTTATTTATATATGTTTATATATAAATATATGTGGTGGCCCCTAGAGATAAAGCACGTACAAACTCCAAAGCACATCTCTAGCGTTAACTGAACTTCCCAAAACAGAGCTACCTAGATCAGTTAAATTACACAATTGAAAGCATGTGTGTATTGTTTGTGTATTTATACACAAGCACTCATATATATTCAAATAATTTAAAAAAATTAATTTACCTGTTACTACCACACCAAATCAGGTCGTTGGTACTTGCTGGCTTGTGTAGTCACCAGGTAACAAAATCTCAACACTGGGCCCAGCATCCTGGAGCACATCTGTTGTCTTTTGTACGTGTTTTGGAGTTTTTACGTGTTTTGGAGTTAGTATGTGCTTTGTCTGTAGGGGCCACCGTAAATATACTTTTATTTATACACTCCACATAAAATGTAATAAATAAATCATATACTACAAAAACCTATTCACATTTCAACTTTTAACTATTTACTGTATATTGTCAGCTTTTTTCTTTTAAACAAATTTAAAGTGAAACAACACAAAAACTGCAAACCACAACACAATTAAATATAAATTATAATATGAAAACAAAAAGAACATGCATATTCTCTGTCATATGGACCTGCATGAATAAACTTTCTGAATCCTTTATCATCCGCAACTGAAAATAGTTGTGGACGATTACTATACCTTTCTAATGTGATGTTGTTGTCCCTGGCTCTCTTTCTCTCTCTTTTCCTCCTGCTCTGTTCCTGTGCTACTGCGTGTGTAACTACCGCCCCTCTTCCCGGCACAAAGCACAAGGCTCGCATGCGGAGTGAAGCGGGAAAAAAGTGCGAGAGAGAGGGTGAGAGAAAGAAAAAAAAAACAACCCACGGCTCGCGACAAGGAACCGGCTCACGTCATTCACGTCAAAGAGCCGGCTCTAAGAGCCATTTCATTCACGACCGACACATCACTAATTCCATTGCAGCTTTATGGTTATTGTTGTGGTTCTGGAATCTTCTTATGATGACTAGTAGGGCACCAAACAGTACGACCCTTGACCTCAACCGCTGCTTGGGCTGCCAGCTATGCCAGGAATGGTCCCTGCTTTTTGCTGGGTCTCTGAAGATTTCTGATCAGCACCGAGTCTCAGTCTGGAGATTCCACCCTTGGGATAATTTCATCCAGCAATACTCTGGCTGCTGCACCTGTATCTCCTTACTAGAAGGAAAAACATCTAACCATTTGGAACTAACATCAATCCACATTTTCCTTTTAGTTCGGTGACCTTCACTTATGGGTCAGCAAAAAAATCGTAAATATCATGGAAAACATAGAAAGCATTGTTTTATGTTAATTCTGGAATCCCTCCTTTTGACACATGGTCTCTCCCATGAGTCAACTTAACAAAACTAGGAGAATAACAAAAGAAAAGGCTTAGATAATTTCTCAGGCAACATCAGGGCTTCTCCTCTGTAGTAATTCTGCTCCAGCCCTGTACACCTGTGTTGAAAGATATAAGACTACGTTCACACTGCAGATCTTGATGCTCAATTCCGATTTTTTGATCAAATCCGATTTTTTTTGTCTGCTTGTTCACACTACAACTAAAATGCGACAGCAAACGTGCTCTAGTGTGAACCCTCAAAGCGGCCCGCATGCGCAAAAGACTTCACACACAACTCGCTCTGTTTAGACCCAGAGCAAACAATATTGTTTGACTGATGGCCCTTAATATAAAGACTTCGGACTTCACGTTTCCCAATTTTTGCTTTAAGTTATTTTGTTGTTTGCATAATAATGTAGATAACCTAATAATGATCCTTATTGCTCTTTTAGAGGAGCGGTGCTTCAAAGGATAGTTGCAGATTTCTGTCAGAATCTGCAGATTATACAGTACAAATAAAATGTTCACGTTTCTCCAACGTTGTCTTTCCAACAGTTTCACCGACATCTACACGGGATGGCCAGGAAGCGTTCGCGATGTCTTCTCTGGCGCTGATAATTGGCGTCTGTCTTGTGTCAGTGACGTAAAAGACGGATTTAATGCGACATGACCGTTCAAACAGCAGTCGCTTTCTAAAACATCGGATATGTATCGGATTCAGTACCACATACGAAAGTGACCTAGATCGGATTTGAAAATATCGGATTTGTGCTGTTCACACTGTCATACCATGATCGGATATGGGTCGCATAGGGTCAAAAAAATCGGATTTGATGCGCTTTCGCCTGCAGTGTGAACGTAGCCTTAGTGTGTTTTGCATATTAAGTTTGCTTAACTCATGGCTCCGCCTGAAGCCTACATCCACACTATTAGTGCCTGGAAAACAAAATCTATAAGTCAAATCAAACCTCACAATCTTAAGAGTAATAAAGTATTCAGCATCACAGAGACAAGTGTTGTATGCAGTTTTTCTTGCCAAATCAATAAACCACTACTATTGCCATAATTTGTCCCAAATTATGGATCACCCCATTATTCCACACTCCAGTGACTTTCCTTAAGTAGGATCATTTACTCATTTC